ATTATCTCATCTAATCTACAAATATCTATTGCCTTATAATAACACTACAAAATACAAATGTAAAAGAGGCTGAGAAAACTTAAGTAACTTGACTGTGCTGACTACATGACATATAAGACTTTATAAAGTGTAACATTTGAATATTAAAAGATCAGCTTGAAAAAGAGGACAAGTTTTGCAATTTCTAATAAAAAGTTTCTCAGGGCCAAGCACAGTGGCTTACACCTATAATCCTGGCACAGGGAGGCCAAGGTGGGCAGATTGCTTGATCCCAAGAGTTCAAAATCAGCCTGGGCAACATGGTAAAACCCTGCCTCTACAAAAAAATAGCCATGTACGATAGCACACATCTGCAGTCCCAGCTACATGGAAAGCTAAAGTGGGAGGATCACCTGATCCCAGGGAGGTCAAGGCTACAGTGAGCTGTGATTGCGCCACTGCACTCTGGCCTAGGCAACAGAGTGAAACTGTCTCAAAAAAAAAAAAAGAAAGAAAGAAAGAAAAGAAAAAACTTTCTTAGAGTCAAGTCAATTAATACTCCCTATGAGAATTAGAGATATTAGATACATATTAGTCATCTGTAGGAATATATTATATATACTAAAAATAATTATCCTCTTGTATCTTTTAAAAAATCCTTAACCAAGTTGCAAAATTGTTGTTGTGAAGACAAATGTTTTTAGCAATATTTTAAAAACAGTGATAATGTAGGTGCTGTCTCCCGACAAAATTAAATCTTATAAAACCTCCCTTTCCTCCATTTTCTTCAGAAAAAAAAACTTTCTACAGAAGGGCAGGAAGCTTGTTCTCATAACTTCAAGACAAAGCTTAACTATGTCCCATATATTCTCTCATAACTTATCAAGTTCTGTTATCTAGATCCAGCTTCAAAAGTTGTCAGATACAGCATGAAAGCTTTTTGAGAACTCTGTGAAATCACAAAGGTAGGCAGCAAGAAGAGAAGTAGGCTTAGGTCCTGCAAGGAGTTACAATCCAAATGAGCTCATTAGCAATTGTGCTTTTAGAGACAACCTTGGGAGAAATGCAGCCAGATGGACCTACAGAAACCAACCTTGACAAATCCTTACTTAGATGGGTTCCTGGGGACGCTTACTCCACAAACAAGGAGGGACGGCTAACCTACCACTGTGGCTAACTTGCAGCCAAGAAAACAGCCTGGGCTAAAGACAGAAAACAAGAAATAAGGAAGAAGAGGGTTTAAGACCAGCTCTGACCACCAGAAACATTCTGGCTCCTCACAACTATGCCCTTCTCCACATGTCCTACAAGGGAATTAATCTTTACTTTTTGAAGAATTTTCTTTTCAAAACCTTAAGGTCAAGAAAGAGGAACCAACTTTCAAAAACATTGGCTCAAATATTACATAAGCAGCATCTCATCTGAAGCTTCAGGCTCACATTAAGGAACTCTTAACCTATCAATGAAAGAGTATGAAGAGTATGAGAAACAAAAGTATAGTGCAGAGAGGAAGAGGGTGAAAAAGAGAAGGCAGCTTTACCCTTTTCTTTACCTCTCATCACTCATACTCATGGCTGTGAATTTCTCAGTGAAGTGTCTTTAATTTCTATGTATATAGAAGGAGTTGTACAACTCCTAAGGACTTCAATTAATCACCTTGCAATGAAATGTGTAAGATAAATAAAAACAGATTGTTTTAAAGTAAATTACCTTATGAATGGGAAAGCAATACTGCAAGCTGATACCTCAACTGATGCTAGCCCATGCCCTGAATAGAAGAGGTAGCTAATAAGGAAAATGTTGCAGGGACCTCGACCCATCTTCAATTACTCAAAACCAAAACTGGAACAGTAGTAATAGTGACATTAGGTTCAAAAAAAATGAGACATTCATTTACTTTAGCAACAACATCTATTTTGTGTCAGGTACCCTTCTAGGAGTTAGGGAACTGGTGTTCAACAAAACAAAGTTCATTCCCTTGGGCGACTTATATTCAAATGAAAAGAAACAACCCTAGTCTCAAAGAAAACACTCCATAATATCTCTTTCTCAAAAATGCTGACTGCCCAAGGGAGAAATTAAGTCTAAACCAAAAGAAAAATGCTTTAAGACCCGTTATTGAAACTTCAAAAATATGGAAAGCTCACATTATACCAATTAAATATTTATACTATGTTATGAATAAAGTTTGGATCAAAACCATAATTTTTGATATCTGTCAATTAACCATCATTGACAAAGGACTTCCTTAATTGGAAGCCAGTAAGTATTCTTCAATATGGGGGGATTCCCTTATAAAACCACACTCCAGTAAGAGTTCAACTCAAACTCCTGTAAGTCCATAGGAAGACTAAATGGGAGAGGAGACAATATCAGACCAGGAATGGTCACAACATCTTAGAAATGAAAAGCAGAGGCTGGGCACAGTGGCTTATACCTGTAATCCCAGCACTTTGAGAAGCCAAGCCAGGCAGATCACAAGGTCAGAAGATCAAGATCATCCTGGCCAACATGGTGAAACCCCATCTCTACTAAAAATACAAAAATTAGCTGGGTGTGGTAGCACACGCCTGTAGTCCCAGCTACTCAGGAGGTTGAGTCAGGAGCATCGCTTGAATCAGGGAGTCAGAGGTTTCAGTAAGCCAAGAACACACCACTGCACTCCATCCTGGCAATAGAGTGAGACCTCATCTCAAAAAAGAAAAAGAAAAGCAGAAACAGACTTGGGTTTTGACATCCTCTGCTCTACGGCCTTACAGCAAAAAGAACCTGGCAAGGTTCTGGAATTGCAGGTACAGAGTACCACCGTGGGTAGGGAGTTCTGTGGTAAAGTGAAAAAAACTGGAGGGATGACTAAAAATCTATAGAAAAACACTTAAACCCTCCAGATCCCCACCCTGCCTGCTCAGGCAACTGCTCCTCTATTTTTATCAAAGACAGGCTTCATTACCTGAATAAAATGAAACTGAGAGCCACTAGAGTTAAGGATACAAACACAAATAAAAGTACCTTACAGATCAGGAGGACTAGGTGAAAATCTGAATACCAGAAGGTTAGCTCAATGAAGGCAGAGACTTAACATCTGTGCTGCTCACTGATGCATCTCAATAACCTGCAATGGTACCTGGTACATAGAAGTCACTCAATATGCAGCAGAAGAGTTTAGAAGATGTGGGGTTTTTTAATCTCCAAGAAAGTAGAACAACAACAACAACAAAATCAAGAATAGAAAGCAAGAGAGAAAAAGAGAAAAAAATATAAAATTTGAACATCAATCTAGGAGATTCTGACCCACAGGAGTATCTAGAAAGAATGAATAGAGAAAACAAGGGTGAAGGGGTATGAATACAAAGAAATAACACCAGAAATTTTACAGAACTAAAGTTTCTGGCACACAAAATAAATGAAATTTCAGAATACCAAGAATAAAAGACAATATTCTAATTACTTTAGGTAGAAAGGTCACAAATAAGAATCAGGGTTGCTGTTGAAGTCCAGCACCACTCTCATTTCTGATTCTTATTTGTCAAGTCTCTGCCCTCACGGGAAAACCATCCCCAGGATCCAGTCACCACCCACCAGGTGCCTCCATCTACATGTGAGGATTACAACTGGAGCTAAGATTTGGATGGGGAAACCAAGTCAAACCATATCAGCTATCTTAGAGTCACTCGGGTAAATGTGAACAGAATGAATACTAGAGCCCTCAACTCTGAGATGGCTGCTCTATTAGATGAGTATCTATCACCAAAGTTTTAACCCTAACATGCCTTTGTCCCTACACTGCTCTTCAGCTTTCTATTATTAAATCACTAAATATAAAATATAAAATTTTAGTTAAAATGTTAATAAAATAACATCCCATCTTCCAAGTATTTAAAACAGATTTCTATTGATATTTACGTATAATCATGCCAATATGGCAGCACAGAATACTGGTTAAGGATGGAATCTCTTGTGTCAAGGAGACCCTGGCTCTGACTCTCCCTGAGTATCATTCTGCCTTGTAACCCTGGGAACTTCTCTAAACTTCATGTTTCTCACCTCTAAAGGTGAGTGCAGTCAGACTGAATAAGATGAAGGATGTCAAGAATGTAAAGGTAATCAATGTGACAGAATTAAGAGCTCTGGAAACATTATCGATTATACTTGGTCTTATGTCCAAATATGTTAATAACCATTCATTATCCTCGAAGAGCTTCATAGGCAGCGTTCTCAAATATCAGTGTGCATGAGAATCACACTGGTGAACTTGTCAATGCAGATTCCCCTGACCCTACCCCCAGTCTGATTCTTTAATCTGGAGGAGGCGGGAATCTGTACTTTCAAGCTCATGTATGATTTAGATGCAGGTGGTCCATGGAAGAGAAACAGTGTTCCTAGATGTTAAAATAGATGCCCAGGGGTTAAAAGACAAGCCAAAAGCCTACATAATTACAGCTTCAAGTAGATCACTGCATCAGATAGCAAGGAACTGAGTACTACTCATTCGTTTTTGCTGTTTTTCCAACTGCCCTTTTTTAAAATTTAAACTTCTGTTAGGTTCCATAGGTTAATTAATGTCAGACAATATGAAGATTATTTCTTAGTTTATAAAGGTTAGCACTTCCAGTTATACATCCAACTAAATGTTGAATGCATGCAATAGGTCAGTGCTCAGATCCTTATGGAACCCTGTTTTCTGCCTTAGAAGCCAGCCATATAACCTTGTTATCAACCCCAGAGAACTGAAGACTGGCCATTTTATTGACTGGTACAGAAAAAAAAGGAAATAAAATGTGTGTTCCTACATTGCAATATAAACTAGAGCAAACTAAAAATATGGCTAAAAACAAGCACAAAACTAAACACATCCTATATTGAGAAAGCTTGATGTGTAATACATGTGAAGCAAATTGCATGCAACAGCTGCACCTTAGGATAAGGATTTTCCATTGAAATGTTTATTCTAAAACCAGCAACAAAAGCAGAACTGAGAGTGACGAAAGTTGGAGAATGTAAATGCACACATTCACAATTACCTTGCTCCAGTCTAAAGCACAGGGACCGTCTCGCTGCTTCCATCTCAGGAGTTGGGTTATCTAGGACATGTCTACACCACTGCAGAGGAGTCAGGGATTTCTCTGATGAGGTGAACATCTTTGAAGAGCCAACGTATAACCTTAAAAAAAGAAATCTACATTATAGGCATGATATAGATATACAGAGAGTACCTCTCTCTGGGGAAAACAACATGTATTTAACAATTACTTCAAGGTATCAGAAATAGTTTTTAAAGGCAAATATCCCCAAATAGAATATGACACTTCCTGTAGCCTGGTGAGAAGAACTTCTAGAAAAAAGTCTAATAATTTTCCCCATAACTGTGTGTTTCAGCATCAGAGATCAAGGGCTTTTTTTGAGTGAACTAGCCTAAAAAGGCACCATCACAATCTTACTATCTCTATAGACATGTCAAGAAATGAACATTTTCATCTTTCTCTTTGGCAACAGACTCTTTTGTGAACTTGGCTAATGAAGGTAAATATGATGTGGCAAACAAGGCAAATCTTATGTGTATTTTAAAAAAATAAGTCTAAATGTCCAGAAAAGCCAGTCAGTTGATTCTCTGAACCCTTACATAATCACATATTTCTTCTGTCTCAAATCTGTACTAACCTTGGTATGTGCCTCTTTTTCACTAAAGCCAAACAGAGAGCTTTAAAAGTTATGTTTTAGGAAGAGTTCACTTTTAGCGCCTATACCATTACACAGTAATGAGTAGTATCCAAAATAACCACCCCCTTCCCCCCAGGCATTGCAAGTTATTAAAAAAAGCTTCTCTCATTAATATACCATGTTAAGGTCAACCTTAGAATATTTTCAGTGATGGGGTTATACAAAAAGGTTTATCTTGAGGAATAAGCAACAGTTAACTAAAAAAGGGGCGAGGGTGAACTACCTCCCCGAAACTGCTGGCTCTAATACATGACACCTCACTATTATAAGCTTATATTAATTAAAAATCTAAAGTAATCTTCCTTCTAACAAAGCTTTCACAATTCCAATGAGCACACATTCTTGAAATAACATACTTCATGATCCACTCTTTTACTATTCTAGACAAAACATTCATCTATTCATTTATCAGCTATCCAAGATGATGTGTACCATTCTTTGATAAATTATTCTTATAGATTAGGGGATGGCAAACATTTTCTGTAAAGTGCCAGCAAGTATGCATTTCAGGTGTTGTAAGCCACCTGATCTCTGTCACAACTACTAACCCTGCCATTCCAGTCCAAACGCATCCTAGATAATATGTAAATGGATAGACATGGCTGTGTTCCTATAAAACTGATTCACAGACACTGAAAGTTGAATTTCCCATAGTTTTCACATTCTGTTTTTTCATCATTTAAATATGTAAAAACCTATCTTACCCACCACACAAAACATGCAACTGCTGTGATTTGCCCTTGGGACAGTATGCTCACTCCTGTTAAGATGGAGACTCAAACACAGATCTCAATTGATTAATAGTAAATCCAATATATTTTTTTCCTTAGAGTGTGTTGCACAGTTGTGACTCCATCAAGGGTATATTAGTTAAAAATTCATATTCTTGATCCCCACACCTCAGTCCCACTACGGCAAGATTATCACCTACTTATGTAGGTAATAATCCCCTCCACTTCCTTGCTAACATACCCCTAAACTGTCTGATACAGGGTACTTCCCCCTACTCACAAGTACAGGTTAGTTTAGGCCAGTTATTCTCAATGTCTCAATGTCTCATGCTTCAAAATTACTTAAACATCTTGTTAAGACAAATTGCTAGATCACACCCCTTAATGCATAGGGTCAAAGAATCTGGAGTTCTAAGAAGTTTCCAGGGGATGCTAATATTACCAATCTGGAGACCATACCTTGAGAAGCACTGAGCTAAGCCAATCATGATATTTCCACTGTTTCCCTTTCCCTCTGGGTTTAGGCCCAAGACCCAGATACAGTCCTTGCCAACAGAAACTGAGGGAAAATCATATGATGGGCTTGCAGACAAGTTTTTTCTCATATTTAATGGGAGGGCAGAGTGTCACAAGACTCAATTATATGCTTCCTAACAGGAAATACACCTTAAATATGGGCATACAAATAAGTTAAAAGTAAAAGGACAGAACACTTAAAATAAATAAATAAATAACTACCCACAGAGAAAAACCTGGGCCCAGAAGACTTAACTGCTAAAGTCAACCAAATATTTAAACATCAGTTCTTTACAAACTCTTCCAAAAAAAAACAGAAGAGGAGGAAATACATCCTAACACATCTTATTAGGGCAGTGTTATCCTGATACCAAAATAAGAAATTACAAGTTAAGAAAGTAACTATCAATATCACACATGAACACAGATGTAAAAAGTCTAAGTATTTCAGTAAATTGAGTCTAACTTAACCATTAACATACTTCGTCATTAACAAGTGGGGTTTATCCCAGAAATAAAAAGTTGGTCTAAACTCAAACATCAATATAACTTACCAGATTAACTAACTTGAAAAAGTATATGATAATCTCAATAGAAAAAAGAAAAGGGTTTGATATCCACTCCTGATAAAAATTCTCATCAAATCAGAACAGAAAGGAACCTATTGAAGGCATCTACAAAAACAGCATAGTTAACGGTAAAATGCTGAATGCTTTGCCTGTGATACCAGAAAACAGACACAGACATTGGTTCTCAACGCTTCTGTTTAACACTCTGTTAAAGATTCTAGCCAATGCAATCAGGCAATAAATTTAAAACATTTACATTGGAAAGAAAGAAGCAAATCTGTCTTTATTCACAGATGACATAATCATCTATGTAAAAAAATCTGAAGAATCTACAAAAATGATAATAGAATAAATGAGTTTAGTAGCAAGATTATAGGATACCAGATTGATGTAGGAAAGCCAATTGTATACTTGTATATAGTAATGAACTAATTCATATTTTAAAAAATTCACTTTCCATTTACAATAGCATTTTAAAAAACCATATAAGATACTTAAGGGTAAATCTGACAAAAGATATTCAGAACCTGAACACTGACTACAAAACATGCTGAGAATTAAAGAGGACATAACTAGAGAGATATGCCATTTTTGTGAGTTAGAAAATAAATATTAAGATGTCAATTCTCCTTAAATTGGTCCAAATAATTTGCAAAATGCCAATCAAAATTGCAGCAGACTATTTTGTAGAAAAGTAGAAGATGATTCATACATCAGGAAATAAGAAGAAAATTCATATGGAAATGCAAAGATCTTAAAATAGCCAAACAAACATTTTTTAAAAAATTGGAGAGCTATTCCACTGATGGAAGCTCATGACAGTAATGAAGACAGTTTAGTGTAGCATAAACAGATTAGTGGGAAAAATAGCCCAGAAATAAAACCACACATATATGGAATATGATTTTTAGTAAAATACAATTTAAAGGATAGTCTTTTAAATAAATGGTGCCAGAACAAAATGGGTATTTATATGCAAAAAAAAAAAGAATTTTGATCCATACTACAAACAATATTCAAAACTAACTCAAAATAGAGCACAGACAAAAAATGTAAAACTTGAAACTGTAACACTTTTATAAGAAACCAAAGGTAAAAGTCTTTGTGTCCTTAATTTGGCAAGTACTTATCAGATACAATTTATAAGACTAAAAACATGATCCATAAAACAATATATCAATTAAAAACTTTTCTTTTTGAAAGACATTTCTAAAAGAATGAGTGATAAACCACAGATTGGAAAAGACATATTTGCAAAGCATGTATCTACCAAAGAACTTTTATGTAGAAAACACGAAACTCTGCAAATAGTAAACAACTCAATTTTACAAATGGACAAAAGGTTTGAATACACATTTCACCAAAGAAGAACCTATTATGGCAAACAGCTATATGAAAAGATCTTCAACATTGGTCATTAGGAAAATAGCTAAAACCACAATGAGATACCTATGCCTATTAGAATGACTAAAATGAAAAATACTAGTTATAGCAAGTGTTGAGGAAGATTTGATGCCATGAAAACTTCACACACTGGTAATGGATGTAAAATGGTGAAACCACTTTGGAAAAAGAGTTTGGCAGCTTCTTAAAAAGTTAACCTACAACTACTCTCTGTTCCAGACACTCAAATTGTAAGTAATGATCCAAGAGAAATGAAAGCATGTTCATATGAAGACTTAAACATAAATGTCCAAAGCAGCTTTATTTGCCATAACCAAACACTAAAAACAACCCAAGTGCCCATCAAAAGATGAGTGGATAAACAAGCCATGGTTACAATCATGCAATCTAATGGTTTCCACAATAAAACGTACTACTGATTCATGTAACAACACAAATTACAAAATAACTATCTAGCTTGAAAGAAGTCAGACCAAAACAAATGGAAGACTACATATTCTGTGACTTAATTGATATGAAACTATAAAAAATGCAAACTACACCTGTAATCCCAGCACTTTCAGAGGCCAAAGTGGGCAGATCACTTGAGGTCAGGAGTTCAAGACCAGCCTGGCGAACATGGTGAAAACCCATCTCTACTAAAAATACAAAACTTAGCTGTGTGGTGGCATGTGCCTGTAATCCCAGTTACTTGGGAGGCTGAGGCAAGAGAATCACCTGAACCCAGGAGGTAGAAGTTGCAGTGAGCTGAGATCAGGCCACTGAACTCCAGTTTGGATGACTAATCTATACTGACAAAAAACAGATCAGGGGTTGCCTGGGTTAGAGTTAGCAAGGACCAGAAGGGAAAGAATAAGGAATACAAGGGGCCACAGGAAACTTTAAGTGTTAAAATCTGTTCACTACACAGTAACTGTGATCATGATTTCCTGGATATATATACATGTTAAAGTGTATCAAATGGTACATTTAAAGAACGTGCAATTTACATGTTAATTATATTCCAATAAAGCAGTTTTTTAAAAGTCACAGGAAAAGGAATCACTGCTTTGTGTTTTTATTTTTTCAGACGTGGTCTTGCTCTGTCACCCAGGCTGGAGAGCAGTGGGACAAACACACCTCACTGCAGCTTCAACCTCCTGGGCTCAAGTAATCCTCCCACTTCAGCCTTCTAAATTGCTAGGACCACAGGCACGCATCATCACACCTAGCTATTTTTTTTA